ATTCAAACTATTGGGTATTGTAACGTAGTGTTCTCATATGGGTTAGGAGGAATGTTATCCCAGGAAATTGATAGAACACTTATGTTACACACACCTAAATTTTTTTTGGACAATATTTATTTTTTATGTGGTGTTAAAAATACATACAACCCTAAATTTCTCTTCTACCACCTGTCCCTATTTTTATGGCGGTACGAAGTTCGATGGGTCAGCTAGTTAAGTATAAAATTTATATGTATTAAGTATCTTTATATCTAATACATGTAAAAGTTATACATGTTTACCTTCTCACATTTTTGGGAAAATTAAAGCCCACTTGTAGCCTTGGATCTGGTTGTAAGGTCTCTGTTTGTTTTAATAACTAACATAATAATCTGTACTGTATTTAATAATCTCCGCGATATTAACTCCTTTACTGAAGTGACAAGACTGTGGTTTATACCGTCTTATAATCCTAACTAAAAAGAGTAAAATAAAAAACGTAAATTTAAAAAATCAAAAAACCGGACTGCACTCCAAATAAAAACTGAAAAGAAAAAAACAAGTCCTATAGTCTATAATTCTGTTAAGTAAGGAACAAAGCTACTTTAACAGTCGGGACCCATTACTGAAAAAAAACGATCCATTCTTGAATATCTAATGGGTTTGACTGGTGCTGGACAAATAACTTAGTTTCTTACTTAACAGAATTATAGACTACGGGCCTTTTTTTTTCTTTTCAGTTTTTATTTGCGAAGATACTTAAGCAGTCATTTTCTTTTTGAATTTTTAAATTTACCTATTCTTTTGTTTATGAATTACACTGTTCTTCTTTCTTTCAATAGGAAGAATAGGAGATGCCTGGCTTTTAGGAGGAAAAGTTTAGCTTTCATTCAGTACAGAGTCCAGCATTTATATTTCAGAATATATAGCATAAAGCTTAAGGGAATAGGCGAATGCGAAATTAGTATTCCTAGATCAAAGACCACACACGATGTCGAAATGTACAAAGGGATCGGCGGAACTCGAGCGTCCGGCGTCACTTACGTGGTTCCAATAGAAAATTGCGTTGCCTTATCTGAAAAATCTGCCTGACTACACTAGGATTTTCAGTGTCAATTGCTAAGAGGAGGCTACTAACACACGGATTGTTTCATGGAATCTTAGTCTGTGCTGTGTTCCACAACTGACGAGTCTCGGGAACTTGTAATTATAGTCATTATGGCCCATTATATGCTCTTATCAGGATTTGAACCCGTTCTGGGATCTTTAGAGTATTGACGCCGTTTAACCTTTCGGTAGTCAAGTATTAGCATCGTCATCATCATCAGCCTATTGGAAGGCACGTTCAGCCGTTGATCCCGGCTGCATCTGCAATCGTTAGCACCCGCCAATCCGCACTGGTCACGCGTGGGGGGTCATGGCCCTATCTCCCTATTCCATCCATAGGGAAGGCCTGTGCAGCAGGGGACATTAATAGGCTGATGATGATAATGATGATGATAATCTCAATAGTTCTATATTACTAGTAGGTTCTCCAAAATAAAAAAAAATGACAGTGATATAATTTAATCTAAAATAATTCTGCTATAATACTTTCTGACATTGTTGAAAGTATCGCATAAAAGCTGCAACATCGCTTTATGTTAAAGCGGAACTAAAAAATATAATCTCACTACTTAAAACAAGTATGTAGGTAGGTACTCGTCTACATCAAGTATCGAGAACTCATCCAATGATCCGCCCACATGACATAATATAGTTAAACCCACCGACCAAAATAATCGTGTGCTTGGTTATAACGGCAATATGAGAGAAAACAAACTTTTTAATGTTTGCCGTACACTCGTATACACTACATTATGGTAAGTACCAATGTCGTTTATAATATTCATCATCATTCATTCATCTTCAGCGTATTAATGTCCCCACCATGGGGCACAGGCCTTCCCTATGGATGGAATAGGGAGATTGGGCCATGACCCACCACGCGGGCCCAGCGCGGGTCGGCGTGTGCTAACGACTGCAGATGCAACCGGGAGCAACGGCTGAACGTGCCTTCCAAAGCACGGAGGAACTCGAGATAGAAGATTTTTGGTCACCCATCCAATGACCCACCACTGCATAAGTTGCTTAACTTCAACGATCGCAGCCGAACGCGCTAACCACCTGCGTCATCGAACTCAATTAAAATGAAACTTTTATTACATCGCATTACATATTTAATGGTTATTAAACTATTCAGTCCTTTTCAACAAGCATCCGTGTCTCAGAATCTCAGTAGTAGAAACCCGGCGCCCCGGGTTTTCATTCCAATCAAAGAAGAACTTTTCTTCTAATAATGATATTGCAAGTTTCAAAGTTTCACTTGCATCGTGGTTTCATATAAAAACACACCCATTTTTATACTAAACTTTTCCACGGCATCATCTATCTTTGCGACTGGATTCTATTTACACCGGATAGGTTTGGGGTTTAAGTTACAAATTTAAATACCTACATAACATACTAGACCACTTACCAGGTGGACTGACGACATTAAGCGTGTCGAGGGGACCCACTGGATGCGGAAAGCTCAGGATCGTTGTGTTTGGAGATCCCTAAAGGAGGCCTATGTCCAGCAGTGGACGTCCATCGGCTGATTATGATGATATAATGTCTTAAGTTACCTACGCAAGAATTAAAAAAGGAATCACTTTTATCGAATGAAACTATAATGCGATTCAACTAAGAATAGGACCGACTGGGCGCCATATGATGCCATGTGACGTCATAGCTGTCAATTCAAACAAAATAGGGTGAGCAAAAAAAAAGTTTTTATTTACTAAAACTTATTAACTAAGATTAGGTGAGAAAAAACAGCAGGTTTTTTTAATAAAATTATTTATTAAGTTAGAGGAAAAAACCAACCGATTTTTAATATTTATTTATTAAGACTATGTGAGAAAAAACATTAAACAGAATCTAGCTCTTCAATTCCGCTCATCTCTGCATTACCGCCGGAGTAGTAATCATGTATTATAGCTAGGTCACATACGAACATGCATCCTTTATGTAAACGAAAGTTTTAAATCGAGTTTATGAACGCAACTTAAAGTGACAATTGGTTGACGATTTAGGTTATCAAACAGTCATAGCCAAAGCTCAAAAAATGAAAAAAATATTAAACAATATTAATCATTAATATTTGTTATTGTTTGTTTACAAAGGTTTGGTTTTTATTCTAGAATTAACTGAGTGCTAATAAAGGGTTCCAAGATTTTTTTGGAAACCGTACTTTTCAAGCGACATTTGACAGTTCGAGGTCATTCCTATTCTTATTTGAATCGCATTATAAAAACTCAGATAAAAGTACACTATTATATTTCAAATGCTCTTGAAATTAACCCAGAAGTAATTTTCAGACATTTGGAATATGCTCCCTGCCGCTGTTATGGTCCAGTGGTCTCTAATCTTTACCATATTAGCCGATCATTCCTTCCCTCGTGGATAGCCGCAACCCGATTTAGAACTTCACAAAGCCAACTTCAAACCGCCACTTTGCCAAATAACACACTTCGCTAAACGAAGATTACGGGTTTGCATTGCCAAGAAAATGGAAACTCGTGCTCATATGAATATAACCTTTATTACTAGGGACATAAGGTAGTTTAAAATAGAATTTATTTCTTTGCAAACATAACGTCACGGTCTGCAATATTACCTTTATTGTGTCGTCCTGTCATAAGGATTATATGAATTATCGGGTTTCTTTGAAAATTACAGGTGCAATATTGCAGTACCTCATTTGTTGAGAAACTGATGATTTCGTGACGGAACGGAATCGCTCGGTACTAAGAAATTATTTATGTTGTGGTGCAACTTTTTATTATTGCTAACGGAAATGACAAAAAAAGAACAATATGAAATCATGGGTTTAACAAATTTCATCGTCTTAAGCTAAGACATCCGCGCTTATTTAAGTGTTTGCCTATTCTTTATTTAAACAGTGATTCTGTGGTTTGATTAAAAAACAAGTAAGCTTGCTACCACTAAACATTAAAATAATTAGCGACCGAAACCTTTAAAAAAATCCAAAAAATATATTAGGTACAACGAAGAAAGTACGTATAAAATGAAGAGTCAAAACTATAATCTAAAGCTTTGAGTTTACAAGTTAATTCAGTAATAAGCGCAAACCAACAACGACACACATCCCAATAATAAAAGTCAATCTTAATTCATGAACTAAAGAAGTTCACGATTTTTTTGCAGTCCCCAATAACGCTCGGCAATTGTTTGAGGCAATTTATACCAACACACTCGTTGTAATATCAAAAACACCGCACCACTTACAATAAGACAATTGCCTGATGGGATGTTGTCAAAAGAGCCGACACAAACCGTGCTTACAATTTGTTAACTGTGACTTCCGATGGCTAAAAACTTTAACCCTTTTGATCTTCACACGTAAACACAACAAATAAGCAGAAAGTCCATCTTACAAAGAACCATTTTTTCTTCTATACAAGAAGCAGCATTTATTATTACATAAATCTAATTGATTTCAGACGGGCGGGGAACCTTCGGATTACAGAAAACCATATTACAATATCTTTGTTTTCTTCAATTTTTTAAAACGAGGTGGGCAAATGACTCTACCCCACCTGATGTTAAGTGGTAATAAAGTCCAAACGCGAAGATTGCTGGTACAGCAGTTATAAACTGCTACACCAACCATCCTTACCTTGCCGGCCTGCAAAAATGCTTCTTCACGCCTCTCTTAAATTACCCCAGATTGTAGGAAGGAGGGAACACGTGCTCGGGCAAAGAATGTTTGATGTTGTGATTCTGTTGGTAAGGTTCCTGGGCTCCATAGGTTGGGTATGAATGAAGATCAAGTCATAACATTGCGTAACCTTGCCACCAGGCGAGGAATATTTGTTACTATATTTGCCTTTATGTAGGTAAATAATTATGTATGGATGAAATATCTTTATCATCAAATTGAGTATTAGTAAATATAATGAAACTACCAGTAAAATTGATTTTTGCATATGGTTTCTTTATCTAAAATAATATTTAACAGGCTATATATTACATGAATGCAAAAAGTAAAAAAACACTGATAATATAGGGTATGATGGAATAATTAGCATTGAGCCGAAAAATGTCAAAAAATTAAATATATCCTTAGAAAACAATGTGCTGATTAACCTCTTAAATAAAATATACATAAATGCCAACAAATATTGTATAGAACCGGCGTTACATTTTATTGTTAATTAATTAAACAACATGCTAAAGTCATTTCTAAAATCAACGATTTTTATAACTAAAATAGCATAACATTTTATTAAATGATTCATCTAGAGTACATTGCATTTTTTTAAGGTAACTAATAATATAACTACCTCGGGTAGTTTTTTATGTACCTTGTATTGTTAGATCTAATATAATAAAATGTTACACTGGATTTTTTCTTAAGATATAAAAAAATATACTTAAAAATTAATGTGTATCACTTTTGTTATTACTTATTATTTTATAGGTATTTTAATATCATTAGTTGAATATTAAATAACAATAGATTTCAAATCAGTTTTTTTTTTAGAAATGAAAACGTTAGTTTAATATGTATAAAAAATCAATATACTTAATAAAAGAACACCAAATTAATATTTTAAAAAAATATTCAATTTTTTATTGTTGAAAAAAAATATGGAACTATATTATTCGAATAGAAACATTCATACAATTCAAGAACACAAATATTAAATAGCCTGAAAGAGATCTCAAAATTCAAAATACTTGAATGAAAAACAAAACAATGCCGATATCAAAAGGACGATAATATTCTAAACATATCATACAACTTATTACTAAACATGGAACATGATTGGGATGTAACTTATCAACACTCGAGCAATGATAACCCCTATCGCAATCTGAAATTGACAGTCATGTGACTGCAGACACATCTACACTTCAACATGTCACCATAAAGATAATGAAGGTCGAATGTATTCAACGATAAACTCTACTCCACTTGACATCCTAAATCAATTAAGACGAAAGTGGATACACGATAAAAAAAATAACACTATACTCACAAAATAAAATCAATTGTAATAAATTGTGTAATATTTGAAGTTAATACGCCTACATTATCCTGCTAGATTTTATACCTAACTAAAGAAAAGTTGTTTTGTTGAAATTTTAAAGAAAAAGATCTAATAAATAATTCGAAAGTAGTTTGTAACGCTTTCATGCTTAATCCAGGGAACCGAATCTGATGAATCGAGCTCCTAATGGGAATTTATTTTATAGCCGAAATTAATGCGGAAAAAAAAGATCTAAAAGATGACGAATCCCAGTGCTCGGTAAAATCTACACAGGTTTTTGTAGTACTGGCTAAATGTAATAATAACATATTTATAGTAATGTGAAATTCAATAAATAAATAATAAAAAAAAATAAGCCATGCTTAATTTAACCTCAGCATCCAGTGCATTCTTCTGATTTGAGGGCGTGCAACATCACTGATCATCTGATAAATTTATCTGCAGTCTGTCTATAAATATTTATTTAGATATCCAAAAAACTTCCGGATTATCGGATATTCGAGCGAATCAGGGCCGTCGCTAGGGAGGATATTGTAGAGCAATATTATGTTAAGTGGGGCCGCCAAATTAAAAAAACGTACCTGCATATCTCTGCAATTAACCCTTCCTTAAATTATGTTTTTGTTTATATTGGAGTTACTTGAAACTGCCCAAGAAAATGCAACAGTATAAACTTATCCTTATAAAGAAAAATATCGATAAAACTATTTCACAATATCTTGTAAGCTCTTGCCCTTAGTTTCAGGCAACGGTAAACAAAACGCAATAGTTACAATCGGTATTATAGCGAATATACCAGAAGCTATCCAATGAGGATGGGTGTTAGCAATAAAAGGGGCAACCATAGCACCCAATTTTATCCCACTGGAGCTCAAACCGAAGCCCATGTTCCTTAATGGTGTAGGGTATAGTTCGTTTATTTGCACGTAAATAACGCAGAATATTGTGGTGATGGCCGTGTATGCGACGGTGACGGCGACGATGCCACACCAGTGGCCGTCAGGGATGAAGATCAGCACCATCATGCAGATGCCGCAGGCGATCAAAGCACTAATGCTTGCAGTTTTACGGCGCATCTTTCTATTGACGATGGACGAAAAGATGCTGCCGACGAGCTGCAAATAATTATTAAAACATTTGAAACTTGTTTCAATATTTTAATCACCCTTGTTTATTTCTGTTTTTAGTAAGACAAAATGTTGTTTATTCATTGACAAAGTTAACAAGTCATATCATGCTGCATCATGTTCATGTAAAATGAAATCATCTTTTGATACAATGTTTATGAAAATAATTCAAATGATTACTTTCACTTGCTACTTCACAATTAGAAATTCTTAAAGTACTAAGTTTATTAGTTGATAAATACCTGAAACAGTCCCATTGTAGCAGCTACTGCGTAAACATGCGTACCAAGTAATGTGGAATACTGATTAATACCGTAGTAAGCTATACCGATGAAGGTCCAAGCAAAAATCGAGCTCATAGTTATAACGGCAATTGTCTTCGTTCGAAACAAATCGGCGAAATTCATTTTAATATTTTCCTTTTGATCGCACTTCAGCCTTACTAAAGTTTCGTTCAAAGTGTCTTTTATATGGGATACATCACGATTGTTTCTGAAATCGTAAAATAATATCAATAGATCTTACATAGAATTAATAGTTTTGATGAGAATTCTTGTTTACAAAATATTCATTAAGCTTTAAATATCATCATCACATTCTGTGATTATCATGTAACTTTTGTTTATATTTGTAAAACTAAGCTTCATGGCTCTAAATATAATTCATTAATTATCTGACTTCTATCATCATAATCAAAAGTTCCCTTTTATTTGTTGGTCTATTTTTTCAAGCATATTAAGATCTTACGTCATGTAGTATAACAAATGTATGTGTATTTACATACGATTCTGTATAACATAATTTGTAGAAAAGGTCATTGTATTCCAGCAACAGCATTATTGACAGCATAATGATAAATTAATTCTGATAGCACATAACTTAATTATACTTACATTTTGGCGATTTTGGTCATCAATTCTAAAGCTTCTTCTCCCTTTTGGTTGGCAATCAACCATCGAGGTGTCTCAGGTATTATAAACATAGTCGTCAGAATGAACATAGATAAAAATCCACATGTTAAGCTCAAAAGATAACAAGATGGTGAATAGTAAGCGATGACAGTTAAGATCATTTGGGCAATTCCATCTGAAAACCAATACAAGAAAAACTTAAAATCAAAATATAATCAATAAAATCTTTACAAAAATCTTCTGAATTCAATTTAAAAGTCTGTCGATAGAAAACAAATTAATCAATATATTCAAATAGTTAATTCCAATTTGGTAGCAAGTTAAAACAATTAAATATTAAAATTTTAATTTTTGAAGAATTTACATGAGACAGTCTGATAGGATAAATAAGGATAGCTGGTAAAACAGCTAACTATACACATACCTGCAGACATAGTAGCTACTCCAACCAAATCTTTATACTGCTTTCCCACGGATTCCACGCAAATTATTACATTGAGTGGTACAATACCACCCGTTCCGAAGCCAACAAAGAATCGTAGAACCACTAAGGCCCAATAAGTGGGAGCAAACGTAGATCCTATCATGAATATTACAGCTATAAGAGTAGTGAGGCGGAAGGCTAGAGCACGGCCGAATCTGAAAATGAAAACGAATTACATACTACATATATTTCAAAGAGTGTCGTTGTTGTTTGGATAAAGCATGTTAAAAGGACTCCAAACCTTTATGAAATATGAGATGCAATCAGAGAAATAATTATTAAATTTTCCTATCACGGCACCTTTAATATTCAATATTTTAAAGATATTTCCTCCGCTACTGTAGTTCGCAAAAATCTTTTAAATGCCCTTCTGAAAGATGTATATGGATAGAGTTCAAAAAATTAGTATGGAGGGTCATGTCACAATTAATTTAAAGGTAAGTGTAACTGGAGAGGAGCTCAATGGCAGAGGTTAGCGCATTCGGCTTGCGATCGTAAAGGTTAACCTTTTTTCAAAAACTTATCATAAGGAGCTGCTTCCGTGTTAAGCCGTTGGTTCCGGCTGCATCTGCAGTCGTTAGCACCCACCAATCTGTACTGGGCCCACGTGGTAGGTTACGCACAGCGCAGTCTCCCTATTTTTCTCTCACAGGGAAGACTTGTGCCCCTGCAGTGAGAACATTAATACGTTGATGATGATGATGAATAACTGGAAAGGTTCCAATACGAAAATGCCATAATTTGATACAGTTACCTATCAGAGATCCAACCAATTACTGGTACGCCCACGAGCAGTCCAAGCATCAGAATTGATTGAGCAAAACTGGCGAGCCAAGCATCACCGCAAATCAAATCAAACCTCGATATCAAAGTGTCTTTGAAAAGAGTATTATAATACTCATATTTGATACAATCTTCGTAGCACGTGGAATTCTGTACATCCACAAGAGGCTCGCCTTTGAACTTCACACATTTAAACTCTGTGTTCGGCGTCAAGAAAACTATTGATATAACGTTGGCGATCACTATGAACTTAGAAGATATCGATATAACCCATATAATTGCTTGCCAGGTACCGAAAGGACCTATACATTTGGCTATGTAGTCATCGTCCTCTGGTTCAACAACGTCTTGACTCTCAGTATTTACTACGTATTTGTTAATCGACTTTAACTTCATTTCTGTTCTTCTTTGGCTCGGGATATTTTAGATCTGCAACAAAAATGTATAAAATTATTGTCATAAGTTTTTTTTAAAGCCATTATTTATTTCGGTACCTTGCCTGGGAGCTTCGTAAAAACTCTCAAGTAAATGTTATTAAACACGATGTTAAGGTTGAATTCAAGACATTGAAAATAGCACGTTATTTTTTTATTATTTGAAAACCGTTAATAGTTAAACGTGTTCATGAGATAATATAGTTTTAATCATACAGAAAAATCAAAAAAAACAACTAACTTTTGTAACAGAGTTTTCATTTTACTTTTTCATTGATGATTAATAAAAATTAAATGTCTAAAGGAATTGAAATGAAATTTTCATTTAAAGATAAAAATTGCTGTGATTTTAAGAAACTACAATGCAAGTGAAAGTCTTAAAGCGTTTTACGACGTCTCAAATTTTTTGAGATAATTCAAGCCATGTACATATATTTAGTTGATGTTAAACTGGCTTATAAAAAGTGGAAAATAAAAAAGCGTTGCCATCATCTAGGAATCGAACCCGGGCAGCCCCGGGTTGCCGAGCTTTCTACCACTGAACCACCGATGCTTGTTTAACAACAATTGAAAATCTATGCGACATAATAAAGATGAGTGAAAAAAAAATTTCAAAGTAACAAAAGCTTCACTTTAATAGTTTCATTATTGTAAAAAATCATTAACTTCTACATGGCTATAAGATGATATCGTTATAATTTCATACTTCATATACATCTACTTCCAACATAATCGCTTTAAGTCAGTACAAGCTTTCATCATCACCAATACACGGCTCGTAGAGAAGGGACCCTAATTATGAAAGTTATGCCTCTTAAGATTTATGGTTGCCCCGAGCTTGTGGACCATTACTATAATACCCTGGATCGAAGGTGCCCATCACTCTGATGGAAATTATGGGGTTATCGTTTTGCGCGTTTAGCACAATCTCACGTTCCTACCTGCCTGCCAATAACTAACCAATTGACTCAAAGAGCATAATACATCAACATAAATATGCAAAAAGATTTATATCATCAATAGATGTGGGCGCTTTTCAAGTTTTTCCTAACACTTTCAACCGATAGGCTTATTAGTATCATCAGTGCTAGATGTAACTTTAACAAAGCTCAGTGCCCGTAGCATGAGCAGTTGAGCACCACAGTTTCCATTAGGTATATAAAATAAATATAGCCACTTACTATTAAGCTCCATAGTAATTTGGCAACTGAGCATGATAAAAACGAGTTATGTACAATATCGCGGTGCTCATGCTAAGAGGGAAGGCAGGGTGATTTCGGATGTTAAGATTAAATTGTCAATTATTTTATTCACTACCAAACCTAGTCTTCCAGTTAGGATTTTCACTTTAATTCTTATGTTTAAGATAACGGCGTTACACGAAACCCATATATTTTGTTAAAAACAACTTGCAATTTTCGGAAACGTTCATGGCGTAAAATAACGTTTTTCTAAAAAAATACCGTGCATATTAAAAAAATATTCAGATCCCAACTCAGCTATACTATAAATGTTACTAGTAAATAGCTTTAAATATGTATATAAGGATTTATAGGACTAGGGCCCAAGTTTGCAACATGCAACAGATTTTTATTTTTCATCGGTATATGTGTTGTGACTTTCAAATCTTACTAGGACACGCATGATATCATGTGAACCGGCTGTAATTTATTTCTTTTTGGTCCCATTTCTGATTTTGAAGCCGGTTTTACTGTTCTAAATAATTTTGATTACATAAATTTTATCGTAAAAACCCCTAAAACAAACCGTACGCTAAGTATCGTGAAAATTACAACGTCAAAGTAACAAATATGCTCAAGTTCTCTTACTAAATAAAAAAAATATAGGACCAAATGGCAAGTATCTGCCACAGAACAAAAAAAAATACTCAAATCGGATCAGAAATCTTTACGTAATCGCTGTATGCACACGTACATGTTAACAAAGTATCGTCAAAATTACATCGTCCAAGTTATCAGAAATGCTCATAAAACAAAAACCTCGAAATGTCATTGTCAAATTTTGTATGGAAACTTGAAAAGCAGCGCCATAACGGGCGTAACGAGAACTAAAAATCTCAATGACATTTCGCACTCGCAAACTATTCTAATTCGATATTGATTCGTGCTAAGGGTACTGAAATATTTTTTTATGAGACCGGATCAGAATCTTCAGCGTAATCGGTGTATACAAATACCTACATAAAAAACATACAGACAACCTCCGTGGCCGAGTGGTTTATACACCGGGTTTGATGGTGTAGCCAACTCGAAAGGTCCCGGGTTTCAATCCCGGTGGGGGCAGATGTTTGTGTGGTGAATGCGAGCATTTTTACTCCAGTCATGGATATTTAATACGTATTACTATATAAATATACTTATTATTACAGGGTGGTCCAACTAGTGAGGTCAACATTTTTTTTTATGATTCCTCGCACCTGGGGGTATCCTAAAATACCCCATGTATGTTCCGCGATTTTTCTTAGTTTTCGAGTTTTAATTTTTTTCGTGTATTTTTAATGATTTCTGCCAGCGAGGTTTCAAAAATTCTTATCTTTTTTCGTAGTAGGTATTTTGCAGTCTTTTTTTGTGACATAATTGTCTTGAATTTTGTTTTCCTCAGCTTCCTGCAATTACTTAAAGTTACTCAAAAAAGGCTTGAAAGTTGGAACTTTAGTTTTTAGTAGGATTTACTCAAACATTCAACTTCAATTTAGAAGTACAAAAAGGAGTTTCCATAAGTTCTCGCTAAAATTAAAAACTTCATTAATTTGTGGTTTTTATTTGTATCAAAAAACAGGTAATTTTCCACTAGCCATTTTATTCTTGCTCACTTTTTAAATCTTAGTGGTGAAACCGAAATTATTATAAAATTCAACATGCTAAAGTTATTTTACAGAAATTTCAATTAAATTTAATGTGAAATTACATTTTTAGGTTTAATTTACCATAACAATGAAAAAAAGTAGACAAAATAATGTCTAATGCTTTAATCGTGTTTCAATAATTTTTTAGCCTATCCGCCTTCAAAAGCCCATATTTTACAACAAAAATAGGCTGATTAAGTGCATTTTTTTATGATTTTTGGTAGTTTAGAAGCATGCGGTGTTTTAATTTTAGTCAGAAGATAAGAATTTTTGAAACCTCGCTGGCAGAAATCATTAAAAATACACAAAAAATTTATAACTCGAAAACTAAGAAAAATCCCGGAACATACTGGTGTATTTTCGGATGCCCCAGGTGCGAGGAATCTAAAAAAAATTTGTTGACGTCACTAGTTGGACCATCCTGTATATGTATTCTATCCGTTACCCTAGTATCCCATAACACAAGCCTTACAGTGCGTACTTTGGGGCTAGGCTGATTGATGTGAGTGTTGCAAATATTAAATATATTTATACCAAACGAATGTAGAACCTCCTACTTTTTGAAGTCGGTAAAAAATTGAGAAACGTTCTCATCGGATGAATCACAAAGCAATCGCCTGAAATACACAAAGTGTCAGTTTCCATAACACGTCACGTCCGCATCGCTAATCCCTTTACGGTAGGGCTGTCACTGGTCTTGACAAATTTATATAGGAAAATATTCAAAACCACCCTTTTGCCTAGCGCTGATGATGAAATCGAGTCCAATTCATCAAATTCCAATTTTATTTTAGTTTATTCGTTAGAAAAATAATATAATTGAATAATAGAAATTTAAAAAAAACATGTCTTATGTCTTGGATATACGAGTATGAACAGCGCACGCTTCTTCACACATACCTCATTTTAAAAGTGTGTTGTGTTATTACAATGAAACATTGTTACTTTATTGTATGAAGTCAATTATATGATAGGACTATATGTATAAGAAACTATATCTTAGTGTAAGACCGATAACAGAGTAAAGTGAAGCTATAGGAACAATATAAAATATCTCGTATAAATATCATAAGAGTGTGTGATGTCACCACAGTATAAAAGCACACAATAAAAATTCATGACAGCTTTTGGAAAACAATACCTAGAATTTTTTTATGTATATTTGAAACTTTAGATTGTAATTAATGAGCAATTACTCATACTTGCAACGAAGGATAAAATATATTCATCATCATCATCATCATCATCAGCCTATTAATGTCCCCACTGCTGGGGCACAGGCCTTCCCTATGGATGGAATAGGGAGATTGGGCCATGACCCACCACGAGGGCCCAGTGCGGATTGGTGGGTGCTAACGACTGCAGATGCAGCCGGGACCAACGGCTTAACGTGCCTTCCGAAGCACGGAGGAGCTCGAGATAGAAGATTTTTTTTTTTGGTCACCCATCCAATGACCAACCACTGCGAAACTTGCTTAAATTCAACGATCACAGCCGAACGCGCTAACCACCTGCTTTAAATTGGCGATAATAACACTATTTGTGACTACTGTAATTGTAAGCTTTGTTTTATTATATTTTGAAGCATTTCACTGTTACATTATCAGGTATATAGTAATTAACTTCGTGACCTTAAGAGGCGTGTCAAATGTTTATTATTATTTTTATCACTTATTTCTTAAGCTTAAAAGCAAACTTGTATTTATAAATTATTAGAAAAAAATATTACAATTTTTTTATGGAATTTATTACTAGATTTTCATATCTTACGAATTATTTATAGAAAGTTGCACAAAATAATTACTTCGTGCTTGTTTATTAACATAAGGGCACAGAAATGTAGTATTAGAGATGATAACAGGGCAATGTAAACTGAATTCTATTTAGTCCGTCAGTTAGATAATCAAAAAATAATAGACTCATATTTTTTCTTTGGCAATAAACGAAAAATTACCAAGATTAAAGCGCGTCAAAGTTTGGAAGGAAGGAGAAGGCTAATACGGACGTCACGTTTAAGTAAAAATTGTACCTAGACGTGCGACATGCGACATATCAAATCAATATATCCCTATAATATTTTAATGATGTGTACAAATTTGTAAAACATACGTGTCCAAATCTTTTTGATT